CTTATTATTATGTTTTTGAAGTATTCTGCCTTTTGGCTGGTCCAATTAAAAATAATTTGAGGATAATTATATTCTCTTTTTCATATTAAAAAACCTATTACCTATACCTACATGGGAACAAGTTTCTGTACTATAAATGTTTAGCCGTCAATAAATACTCTCACAAATATATATTTACTTTCTGAAGCAAGATACATAACTATGCAACAACCACTTGACGGGCAGCACGCATCAACATGATTATCAAGTTGGTATATGCAGCCCATAAGAAACTTAAACACCATGCATGGGTACATTAGGTCATCTCCTCTGCAACTTCATTTCACTCTGTATATGGACTACACATTGTTACATCAAAATAAAAACATGCATGCCCATGTACATTAGTATGATCATGTCAAGTACAGTATAGTTTAATATTGCTAATGTAGCTTAGTATTCTTTTGGACATACTTAAAATAAATGTTAAAAAGAAAAATAGGCCTAATATTGATTTCTTAAAACAGAATATCTAATAACAAACACTAGAGCGGTTTGAAATATGCTGATCTGGGGAAATCTGAAACATGAGCTGCCCTAAGACAAACTTGAGAGAGGAGTTTCAGTCAGCGTGAGATTTCGGGCTCAGCTCTAGGGCCTCAGAAGAGACTGGAAGCTCCACAGGGCTCTTGACTTGACTTAACCCTGGACACATCCAAACATGGCTACGAAGTACCAGAGGAATACTTCCAACTCTCTCCTTCTCTAATTCAAGAACTCTCCCTCTCCCAAGGACACATGCTCACTGTCTACTCAACTCCCACAGAAATCTCCCTTCTCCTATTTCTACTCTTCATTCTTGTCCATATTTCATTTCTAGTTCCACTCGGAAGCGTTTTCTGGGCACTCAAACTTCTACTGGACATCTCCAGGGTCTACTCTCAGTGTCACTTAAATGACAATTTTCCTTCCTGTCTGCTTAGAGTGTTTAGGTTTCTGTTTGTGACACCCTTTTTCCCCAATGAGCATAGACTCCTCATACACAGAAGACAATGTCTATGGTTCTGTGGCTACACCAGTTACTAGTGCTTTGCACATAGTAGGAAGTAAATACATGAGTGAAATGAAAACAAGAATATATCAGTTTTCTCTTTATTAAGATACCTGGAGGGACCAGCAGTTAGTGTAATGGCTATGTCACTGGACTCCCATGTAGTCAACCGCAGTTTGAGTCCAGGACCTGGTGGCTTAAACTCACTCCGGGCGTGTGTGTGTGCGTGCCCAAGATCCTGAGAGGAGAATGGAGGAGAGGGGGTTGCGGAGTGGCCATCCCCCCTGGTGGGTGATTTCCTGCTTTCTGTCTCTCTGTCTCTGTCTGTCTGGTGAGTGCATGTGCCCTATAGCAAAAACCTCTCCCTCCCTCCCAAAAAAGTAAGATATCTGGAAATAATAAACACTACAGGACTGACATGAACAGATTAATAAAACTCCCCCATGTCTTAGTTTATGATCAAGGAATAATTCATGCACCATAAAATCTACATCCATTACTAACCAATGTCTTCCAGCAATAAGCAAGTCTCCTCAAAGAAGACCTTGTGTTTCTGATCTTGGGTGTACAAACTCATAAGACATCATTGCATGGCCTACATAGAATTGAAAGTTATCCTTCTAAGTTCCTAGATAAGATACACTATACCAATTTTGTTCCCACCATCAGCCACTGTTCAGCAACTATTGGATTGTCAAGAAAGTCATGACACATTTTTGCATGGAAAAGCATAGAAAAATACATCATGACTTTCCTGATGACCGAATAGATGTTAACAATTTGAGGGAGGAAGAGCCCGTGTTAGAAAGTCCTGGTTTTCCCTAGGACGTTGTGATATCCTGCATTCACCTTTATTCAGGCTCATCTCAAAAAACGTTCTTCCTTTACTCTAATAGGGAACCACATGGAATCTATTTTACCTTCCTTGCCTATCAAACCTTGGCAGTCATCCTTAAATGATCACAGGACATTTTCTTATTAAGTGTGAGCTTTGTCTCAGAATCTATGTCTACCCAGTTCTCCAGGAGCCATTCCAATCAAATAGATTTGTAAATCTTCATATCTTCATTTCCATTCTGGATCTAAACCACCCTCAAGCTGTTTATCTTCTCTTCCAGTTTTTTTTTTTTTTCCTTTTTAATTGCTAAAGAACACATGCTCTCATCAGAGAGAGACAGGGAAAGGGAGACAGCACACCCACTCCCACCCCAGGTGGGGCATGGTCATGCCACAATCCTTTTTTCTCTATTTCTCCATCCTGTTGTGATTTGGGTTATGCACATACATGTGTCCAAAATATTTTTCAAGCCTCTGGGGCTAGAGTTAAACTGTAGTCAGTGATGAGAGATATGGTTTCCTTAACCACTAGGTCCTGGGGTTATTCACTTCCAGTTTTAAAATCCTGACCTTTTAGCCATGCTATCTGATATTTTGATCTCAATATCTCTGCTTAAAGCCTACTGTTGTGGGCAAGCAGGTGGCATCACGGTTAAGGTGCTGGATTCCCATATATTCCCAAGGTTTGAGTCCCAGACCCAGTGACTTGAAAAATCATGCCAGGCACTGTGTATGTATGACCAAAATACAGAGAGGATACTGAAGGAAAACAGATGTGACATGGCCATCCCCATGGGGGTTAATTTCTCACTTTCCCTGTTTCTGTCTCTCTCCAACAAGTGCAGGTGCCCTATGGCAAAAACATTGTTTTTTTATTAAGAGAGAAAATTTTTCTATAGGGTGCATGTGCTCATCAGAGAAGAGACAGAGAGACAGAAAGTGAGAAATCACCACCACCACCCCCCAGGGTTGGGGGTGTGTCCATGACACAATCCCTTCTCTTCCATTCTCCTCTTGGGATCTTGGGCACGCACACACACACACTCCTGGTATGAGTTTAAGCTCCTGGGCCCAGGACACAAACCACAGTATTAGGACCAGCAGTTAGTGTAATGGCTATGTCACTGGACTCTCACGTAGTCGACGGCAGTTCGAGTCCTGGGCCTAGTGGCTTAAACTCACGCCAGGCGCATGTGTATGTGTGCCCAAGGTCCCAAGAGGAGAATGGGAGAGAAGGGATTGCAGTGTGGCCATCCCCCCTGGGGGGTGATTTCTCACTTTCTGTCTCTCTGTCTCTCTCTGTCTGTCTGGCAAGTGCACGCGCCCTATAGCAAAACAAACAAACAAAACAACAACAACAACAACAAAACAGTATTTATAAGTCCACTTTTTCTGTTTTTCCATCTTTCAGGTTCAAAAGAAAACATAACCCTTTCTGTCTCAGAAGCAATATAGCATAAACCTGCTCCCTCTAATAGCTTTAAGCTGAAGAAACGTTCTTTCTTCTGCATAAACCTAACTCTCTCTACGTCCTTTTAGTTATGGAGATTTTTTTCCTTCCTTCTCAAGGTTCACAGACCTGGGCCAAAAGAGGGCAGCTGCAGAAATGGCATACCAAAGGGGAACATGACAACCAAATGCCATGAGCCAGCCTTCCACACGAACATGCTCTTTATATTTACAAGTGCTCTTCCTCTGGAGTACACCCTAATGGGTTGCTATTGTGTTTCCCATCTGTGTCATTCATTCACTCATTCATTTATTATGTATTTATTTATTCACAGTCATTCACTGTACATCATCAATACAGTATACAAAATGAGATTTTCCATCCAGTATACATTGTATATTGCCTCAATCAAAGGTATTATCATACATGTTATCATCAACATGTAATTTTCTATTTCTTGTTTCTTATATTTTTCTTCCCGCCCCTTGATTCCCTACCTCTCACCCTCTGCCAACTCTCCCCCTTCTCCCACACTGTCTGTTATGTACAGTTATTTTCCATGCCTTTTTTTTTTTTTACCTTTTATTGATTCACTAAAGGTCTTAATTAATTTAAAGACTTTCAATAGCCCTCATGAACATTCCACTCACATTTTGGTAATTTCGTAAACTGCTCACATATATATTTAGTTTTGCTATTGGACACATGTGCTCAGCCGAGAAAGAGGGTAAGTAAGAAACTGCCACCTAGCGAAACAGCCACACTGCAATCCTTCTCCTCCAATTCTCTCAAAATTCTAGGCATGCAGGCACACATGCCCAGCATGTTTTCAAAGCCTCCTGGTGATAGACTCAAACCATGAAGTCAGCCATGTGGGATCCAATAGCCTTAACCACCACACCACCCACTTGCCCACCTCAAACCTAATATACTGAAACAAATGATTACCTTTTGAGTCCAAAAAAGGCTAAGTAATATCTAGTAAAAGTATTATGGAGCCAAGGGGTTAAGGCGGCTGGATCCCATATAACCAACTCTGTGGTTCAATTCCCAGACCCGGTGGCTCGAAAAACATTCCTGGAGCATATGTTTGCTTACCCCAAATCCTATGAAAATGAAAGAGGAGGGATTGTGGCATAGCCATCTCCATACACAGAGGGTGCCCTTTCACTTATCCCCTGTCGTCTCTCTCCAGTGAATACATGGCTCCCTATAGCACATCTATGTCATATTATGTTACAGAGGAGAGCATTTAGAAAAGTTGGCTTGTCTAAAGAGGAAACATAACAAATAAAGACACCAATGCACCATTCACAGAGAGAAAAAAAAAATGGCCAGTGAAATACAATAAACGCTTTGAACACAAGAAATGCAAATATAAACCCTAATTAATTTTCTTTGAGTTTCACTTTACCGGAGTTGGAAAACATCGACTACTTAGTGCACAGTGCAAAGACAGGCTGCTATCTTTGAGAGTTTCTGTGGGACATATTTCCTGTAAAGCAATCTGGCAGTGGGTGCTGCATCCATTGAGGTTCAGGACGAAAGCCATTACAGGAATGAAGAAGAATGATATGGAGAAATAATGCTGAGGCTTACCCCACAGGTGGCAGTCTGGGGGAGTGAACATCGAGAAGGTTCTTTTCAGGTATCCAGTAATGCAGGATCACAAGGAGGTCACCAATGACAGCTCAGCTCCCTGCAACACTGAAGTGGGTGGTTCTCCGGAGGACACCTGGGGACTCTGCTAACCTCTCTGCTGACGTACGAAGTTCTCAGGAAGATGTCCAAAGGCACAGGAAAAGCCATGGCTAAGTTTACCTGTGGGTTTGCCCTAGCTGCTCCCAGAGAACAATGGTTTCTCCTTTTCCATTCCACGTGAGGATCTCTCATTAGCAGACTCTAAACAGAACCATATACCAAATGAATCTGGGAAATGTGCTTTCTGGGCATTAAGCCCTTTTATTATGTGGGAGAACTTACAAGGGTGGGGATGAGAAGTATAGATTCAGCACCTATATTAATATTTTACATACATCTGCCTCATCGATTCCTCTTCCAGGAATATAAAATGAGAAATCAATAGATCAGAGTACATGATGCATATGGAAGGATGTTTAACGCTGCATTGTTTATAACAGAGAAATGATGGTCTCTGTCTAAATCTCCCTTGAGAGAGGATTAGTAGGTAAACACTGATATATTTACACAGCAGACATATGGGGCACGTTGCTAGAGTTTACCAATTTTCGATTTTTCTCATCTTCCTTGGGACACAGAGAGGCTTTATGTCTTAGTCTTTTTGAAGTTAGGTAGCACCACGTGACTACGAGTCAGTGAAGGAGGAACAAAGAAGTGTTTGATTGGTTAGCTGGTTTGATTTGGTTTGTTTTGAGGAGATTTTTTTGCTGTGCAGCACATGCTCTCACTGAAGAGTCAAAGACAAAGAGAAAGTGAGAATTCACCCTCCAGAGAGGGTGGCCATGCCACAGTCCCTTCTCCTTCATCCTCCTCTAAGGATTTTGGGCATGTACGCACACACACCCGGAATTAGTTTCAAGTTGCCAGGTCCAGGACTCAAACCATGATCGGCCATGTGGGAGTCCAGTGCCTTAACCACTACGCCTCCAGACCAAAGTGTTTTTTACTTCTAGACTGAGGCTATGAAAGCTTCTGTGTCATGTTCTAGAACTCCTCTCTTATCTCAATGACCAGAAGTCTCCCATTGGTATGAGTGCCGTAAGACAGAAAGGCACGGATCTGAGTCACTATTTTGGAATCCTGGTCCCACAGACAACTGTTTGAGTGAGAAATAATCCTTTCTTCATTAAGCTACTGGATTGTAAGTGTTAACTTGTTATTCCAGAATAACCTTCCCTATTCTGACTAATACAATGTATTACCCATTAAAAGATTGACTTTTCTGTTCATCAAAGTAGGAAAATGCATATAATGTATCATTTTGAGCATATTGTTTTATAAATGTTTTCAGGAAACATTTTGACTGATGGGATGAATAGATAAAAACAGGTTACAAATAGTCTATATTATAATTCTATTTACATAAAGTGATATGATTATACATATGGTATGTGCATGAAATACCTAGAGAAAGATGAACATAAAGATACTCACTAGAATACTAATCATGATTATCTGGGATGGTGGGTTTCTGAGATTTTTGTTTTATTCTATATACTCATTCATATATTGATTTATGTTTGTAAAATGCTATTATCTTAATGAATGATAAAATACATGTACATTAATACTAACAATTAGAACAATGTAAATGCTAGCTATCATTAATATTACTTTATTGTCAGTAAACAAAAATATTTTAAATAGATTCCACAAAAATTGAAACTCACTAGTATATGTTCATTTCATCATAAATAGGTGAACTTGGGTGACATCATAGATATGACATCATACGCATATGGACTCAGGTGACAGATCCTATCGGGTCTCTGGGCTCCATCTTCAATAGTTTTGTGGCCTTGGCAAATTTACCTCTTTTTAATTTTTTTTTTGGGGGGGGGAAGATTTTTGCTATAGGGTGCATGTGCTCGCTGGAAAGAAGCGAGAAACAGAGACACAGAAAGTGAGAAATCGCCCTTCCCCCCAAGGGAGATGGCCACACTGCAATACCTCTTCCTCCATTCTCCTCTGGATATTTTGGGCATACACACACACATGCTCAGTGTGTTTTAAGTCACTGATCTGAGACTCAAACCATGGTCAACTACATGGGAGTTCAGTGACATAACCATTATGCCATCTGCTGGTCCCCAAATTTCCCTCTTAAAATTTAGTTGCAGCTATTCAGACAGGCTCTGAACTCTTAAGTACCTGGAATTCAATTCACATCTCTTCCTTTAGCAGCAGTATAATTTCAAGGAAATTATTTAAATGCATTGGGCCTCAGTTTTGTCATCTGTAGAATGGAGATATAATGCCTCCATCTAAGGGAGGACCAAATGAGATATGTTGTGTCATGGAATAATATAATGTAGAGTGAAGGAAGCCAGCTGGGGTGGGGTGACAGCACAGTTATAGGCAATATTGAGGTCACATAAAATGGTCCCAGATTAACATTCTGGGATCTCCATAGGCATGCCCATAATCCTGTCTACCTGAGGCTGGAGGTGGACCATGGCATGAAGACCCTGTTTCTATCTCTTTCTATCTCTGTCCCCTTCTGTCTGTCTGTCTCTCTGTCTCTCTCATGGAAGAAATAGACTTAAACAAAATGAATTTTAAAAATTTTACCTCAGAAAACAGACTGTCATTATTCAAACCTCAGGTCTGCCATTGGCTAACTGTGTGACTCTGGAAAATTCTCTTCAATTTTCTGTGGCTTCATTTCCTCATCTAAAAAGATGAAGATGATACTAATAGCTCCCATTTAGAAAATTCTTACGAAGAGTGAATAAGTTGATTTTCATTGAGTTCTTAGAAGAATTCTTGGCATATTTAAGTATTTATAAATAAAGGTAAATAAATGCCAGGCCAACAGGTGGCTTGGGGGTTCAAGTCCTGAATGTGGCAGCTTGAAAAACACAGCTTAAGTGTGTGCCCAAAAAAATCCTAAGAGGAGAATGGAAGTAAAGGGATTGTGGTGTTATCATCTCCTCTGGAGGTGATTCTCTCTAGCAAGTGCACACACCATACAGCAAAAAAAAAAGATAACTAAATGTTACATATGATATGTTTGACAAAGCGCTCTGCACATCGTAAATACTCTGTAGACTTCAGTTATTATGCATCAGCTCAGACTCATACAGAGCAAGTACAGTATAAAGAAAACTAGAATTATTTTGTGAAGGGAAATTAAAATGCTTAAGATGAACATCCTTATTCTTTGAGGATGCTATGTAAAAAGCGGATGCCACAGACAAGTCCGTCCCCTCTCTCTCTCTAATATCTCACAGTATCACATTACAAAGGGCACCCAAGGCAGCAAGATGAGTATTGTATCTGTCTCTCATTAGCCATTACTACATTTTTAGGGCAAAATGTCATGGCAAATGTATGTAGATGTGAAGAAAGGCTATCAGAAATGCCCAGAGGAATTTTTTTTCCAAGTTTTTGACAAAGGGCATGTACACTTGCTGGAGAGAGATGGAAAGTGGGAAAGTGAAATGACCCCCTGGGAGGATGGCTACACCACAATCCCTTCTTCTTCATTGTCTCACCAGGATTTGGGGCAAGCAAGCACACATACCCAGCATGATTTTTAAGCCATCTGGTCTGGGATTCAAACAATGGTTGTCCATGTGGAAATCCAACACCTTAACCACTATGTCACCTACTGGCTCCCTAAAGGAACAGTTTTTAAATTGAGAACCATAGACCACCCCTGCTCTCCCACCTGTCCCCGCCACACACACACACACACACACACACACACAGGGTTCCTCAGGTTGCTCAGGAGCCACTGAAAAGTGAGAGGGTTGCTAATAATAAGGGCTTCTGAGCCCCATGCTGCTTCTCCTACAGTATTTCCAATTCTGCATAGTGACCGTTCATATACATCATGCTGATTTGTTGGAAACTGAATGTAATGATATCGCTTGTGTTTTGGGGGGGGATTTTTTTGGGGTTTTATTTGTTTTGTTTTGTTTGTTTGTTTGTTTGTTTTGCCAGCAAGCACATGTGCTCACCAGTGACCAGAAGAGAGAAAGAGAAGGAGAAAGTATCTCCCAATGGACTGTGGCCACACCTTATCCCCTCTCCTCCATCTCTCCATTCCATCAGCAGGATTCTGGGTACACATGCCCACTAACCCAGTACGTTTATCAAGCCATCAGGTTTCAAATTTGGACCCCACCATCAATCATATAGGGTCAGGTTCCCTTAGCCACTATGCCACAGTTCTGGACCAATGTTATCACCTACTACAAAATTAAATAAAGTGAGCCTGGATAGTTATGTAGTAATAAAACACAATGCATGTGCCCATGATCCTGGACTGGCTGAAACTAGGAGTGGGTCAAGGTCACAGGACCTTGTTGAAGGTGCTATCTTTCTGTCTCTGTATCTCTCATTCATAGGAGAGATAAACCATTTTTTATTTTTGTAATTAAACAAGGGTGTTTTTTTTCTCTCAAATGATCTTATTTCAAAAACCAAAAATGCATTAGTGCCTCACCTCAGGAGAGTAGCCATGCCCAAATTCTTAGGTCTACACTCCCAAGCTGCAGGGGGAAAAAAGATCTCCTGCTATCCATTCTTCCATCCATCTTCCCAAGAGCCAGGACCAGGAGAAACCCTAACAATAACTCCTAACAAGGTCTCCTAAAAAGATATTTGAAACTTGAAGCTCTAGGAAGATATTAAAACTTATTTCTAGTTGGATCACCTAAACAGGAAAGAGATGGAACCTTTGTGTCTTGAAGATTAGCAAGAGACACTCCCAGGTTTCTGAGAGATTGAATACCCTCAGTTTTGATAATGATGATGGTGGACAGTCTTCGTAAAACACAGTCCCTCTGAGGCAAGCTAACTGCCATCAGGGCCTGGCAACATGGTATTTATCAGGACTCAGTGTTAAGCACAGAGCCTTGGTAGCCTCTGCAAAGATGTTTAGTGGCTGAGAGGGACTAAAGGGAAGTGGAACAGCCAGAAACTATCCTCGCCTGATGGTTCGTGACTCCATGGTGGGGAGCCAGGGCAGCAGTGACTATTATGGGCCGATGGCCGGCACCACAAGAGCTGCAGAGCCTTGCCACAGAGAGAGGCAGAAAAGGCAGAAGGATAGG